CCCGTTGCCTGGCGAGAGACTGGGGGGAGAAGGGTTCAACCCCAAAATTGGAACCTTTGGCACTGTGAACACATATTTCATACAAAGGCCTATCACAATTTGCTTTGGAAAACAACATTCAAAAGTTGCATGTCTGTCGCGAACCAAAGATTGCATGTAAGACTTGTGAACGGTATATTGAATAAACTTTTAAAAAATACATTGATTTCAAACTCTTTGAAAGACCTGAAATGTGGATATTTGCCGGAACTTCCTAACAGTACATATGACTGGAGATTGACTCATTAATATGCAGAATCGTGGCGACCTTGAGCTTGAGAATCAACGCATAAGCTGTGGCTTGTATGCCGAATATTACAGTCTATTTAAAATATTCAGTACACACACACCAAAAAGAAAGAAAGGGGAAAAAAGACCACAAACATGCGGATCTCAAAAGCGAGCGGGGGAGGGGCAGGGTTCGTTCCAACCTCTTGACCCCCCCCCACCTACGGGTTTGACTGTGGAAGTGTAATCCAAGAGATTCTAATAAGTATCTGTAGTAATAATTATTTGTGGAAGGTATGTACGGCTTAAATACGCAATAGCAGAAGGGGACCTGCTTTCAAGGGATGTACATGTAGTTTACCACAACATTTGCAAGATTGGAGCAGAGCGCAAAGTGTGCAGTGTCCTAAAAGATGCACGAGTCAGGCAGGTGTAGACACGAGCCTTTGTCGCTGCGGAGATTGAGTTCTTTTTTATTATCTGCAAGAGCAAAATGCTTCTGGGGCAATAAATAATAAGTAATAGAAGCACATGGCATATTTGTTGCAGCAAAAACACATAGAGCATCATTTGCTAAAATATCAAAAATGTACCAATTGATGTTGTCACGGTCACGTCATAGGGGTAAAGGGCCAGGTGTACTACGCTCCAAATAAGTATGACACGAGGCAGTTGATAATGCCCGGGACGAACGATCTGATCTGAATTCAGTTTTCAAATGTGAAAAAAAAACATTCAAAGGTGTCATTTCAAATATAAGAAAAATGAAAAGTCATGCAGCTTAAAAGGATCCCTGGATGGATCAAGTGACTGTGGTATTCCTGTTGAACTTCTGACTAAGAAAACATAGATTCTGCATGGTCGTAAAATTGCTACAACTAAGGTTCAAGAGCAAACTTTTGTTACATCTTCTGAAATAATCTCTCATTGTTGATGTACCAAGTAATAGAACAAAAAATACTAAGTGCAACATAACTGGCGATTCAAACTGCACACCCGTCCATCTTACAATTCTGACAAATTAGGGCTCCATTAGAAACAATTCAGAGTACATGGCCAATAAGCTGTAGGCTATGGGAGCAGGATTTAGTTCTCAAGCAAACCAAACTGGATCCGCCCATGCTTGGATGGACAAGGGAAGATAATGGTTAAGTGCCAGTGTTGTCAAAAATTCCCCCAGCCCCACACTTTGCTGATGAACTTGCGCGATGCAAATTTTCGCCAGCAATCCTAGTTCCACCAACAACTGTGCAACTTCAAGATGCACCTGCAAAGCCACAAGTCTTGTTTGCAATAAACTCTACAGATGTGAAGCCGAGGAGAAGTGTGAAAATACCGGCAGTCATCCGGATACTCTCACTTCTTATGAATAGATGACCAATGTTATTTTCCAGTGGCATGTTGTACAAGCCCCAAAATATATGTATTGAAAAAAAAATCACATGCAGTGTACAACATAATCTATTTTGACTGTCCAGGGTTTCTAAATTATCTTCAAAACTGAAACGATCAGATCCTTGTTCTTATTTTTGAAACAGAAATCTTTTGTCTCCAACCAGTACACAGTGTATTATGTATACACAATGTGTAAAATGTTATACGAAAATATTAGGCTGATGAGTAAAAGTAAACTTTGGTTGTAACAAGATTGAGATCTACATCAAACATAACGTTCGCCAAGGATTGTTCTCATTTCCGTTTTTAATGCACCCAGCTGGTGCAGAAAGGTAGACAGAAACCTGTCTAAACTTCTGTTAAGGTAACAATATTCATTACGTTTTTAACATTTTGAAAGCCGACATTATATTATTAAAGGAGTTCACTCCAGCTTTGTGAAGCGAAAAAAGGCTGGGGGATCTGAGATCAAGATATTCTCCAACTGTTTTTGTGTTTATTTCTTTCCAAAAAGGTTCTCACTGGCTAAACGAAATAATTCATTATATTCTTAACGATGGGAAGGGAGATTTTGACCGCACTTTCATGGCCAGTATGTTGGAGGTCACGCCTAATCTAGACCCAACAAAAACGGAGAGCACTACTCCTGCGTACAAGATTAACGCAGCCATGAAGTCACCTAGGTGCATTGCAAGCCACTGCTCGGAGTGGTTCCGGCCCCCTCAAATCTTGACAACAAACGCTAAGGTGAGTTACTTTGGGGAAGAAACTCCCTTAACAAATCACTGTATGATCTAACACGGTCACATATTTCAACTCAATTTATTAATTCGTTTCAGGCCATTAACATTTGTTTCCACACAGTGGAGACATTATCCTAAAAGCCGCAGCTTAGGGTATAGGGAATATATAGGGAAGCTGACTAGGTGCTTATAAATGATTTTAAAGATGAACAAAGAGATTGACTAAAGCGGGATCCGAACATTCGACCTCTGGAACGCCGTACCAGTGCTCTACCAACTGCGCTATCCAGCCATATATAGGTGGTTCTTCTCATCTGTCAACATCTTTGTTTTGGGGTGGGGCTAGCCAGAAACCTGAAACACCACGTAGCCAGGGATCATGCCCCAAAAACGATACAACCTAGGAAGTGGTTAACAGCTAACATAGGGCTGGATAGCTCGGTTGGTAAAGCACTGGTACGGTGTTCCAGAGGTTGCAGGTTCAAATTCTGCTCTAGTCAATCTCTTTGGTTAATATAAGGGGCAAATTACAGAACATGAGAATTACTTTGAATCATCGGAATAATGAGGAATCTTTACCTTTGACCTCAAAGTTTGTGTATCACCAGAGGGCGCCCTAGCAGATTACTGGTGAAATATCCTGTTGATCAAATAACTGTGACGCCGAGCCCCTCCGACGAAAGCGCGGCGCGTCGGACGGCACGCCGGAGAGTCCCTAAGCCGCTAGGGACGAGTCCGTTGGCACCAAAGTATACCGTCCCCCAAGAAAGTTGGTCTCCGTCGAGATGATGGCCAATCTGATTGGTCGAAACTTGATGACGTAACCCGGACAGACCTGACTTGAAATAAACTTCGCCGGGATACAACAATTAATAAGCGGCTTGTTTATTCATCAACGCACTCAACCAATACACAAGTAGAGGGCGCTATTGACGGGGAGACTGTGTGATTATACGGCCGAGTCGGGCGGTTTGTTCCCATGTGTTCACGAACAGCTCGATTTGTTGTTCGTGGGTCGGCCACTCGAACGCCGGGAACAAACAACCAGTTATCGATGGTAGTTAGTGACAAGCAACATGCACATGGCGGCGTCCATGTACATGTAGGTTACATTATTCGGGAGTTAATGTTTGGATGGGCTGAATTCTTTTCTATATAAACAGGAACGTTCATTTCTGTGTTAAGGAAAATAATTAATGTTAATTTTGCAAAACTTCCCATTGTCTATGGCTTTGGAAGCCATCTCTCTACTTTTTGCAGCTGTTCAAAAATTAAAATCTCACGAGTTTTTCCGTGTGTTCCGGTGAAACCCTGTCGAGGAGGTGGTGTGTGACCCTTTTCCGAGAACAGTGTTCTTGAGTCGTGTTCCCGCCGTTCGAGCGCGAGAACAAGAAACCCGTGTCCAGAACAGGCCGCCCCTAATTATTTTCCGTAACACAGAAATGAACGTTCCTGTTTATATAGAAAAGAATTGAGCTCATCCCAACATTAACTCTCGAATAATGTAGCCTACATGGACGCCGCCATGTTGCATGTTGCTTGTCACTAACTACCAACGATAACGTACCGGTTATTTGTTCCCGGCGTTCGAGCGGCCGACCCACGAACAACAAATCAAGCTGTTCGTGAACATACGGGAACAAGCCGCCCGAACTCGGCCATAACTTTCAATCGTTACGTACAAACATCAACAAAAAGTGTTAAGGAAACAGTTAAGAAATCTCAAATAGAGTGATTGATATTTGTCCTCGTTTTTGTCTTTTTTAAAGGTCGTGTGTGTGGCCCGAAATCCGAAGGATGTGATTGTTTCTGTCTGCAAAATGATGCCAACCTGGACATTTGACGAGATTTTCTGGGCATTTTGCCACGATAAATGTAGGCTTGGGTATATCAAATTTATTCTTATGGCCCGCCTCCCCATACTTTACTTAATCTGATATTACTTTCGCAAGTCTGTAGGCCTATATTCATATTTTCCTTTTCTCTGGATGGAGCTAGTCCATACTTCAGTCAGAATGAATTTACTGCATCTAGCCTAGAACATGCCAGTTAATGCTATTGCAATTTGAATATCTCCAAACTATCAGTGGTAGAAATCATTTCAAATGTGAATTTTCTCGGATGCAACAAGAAATCAAACACGATCACACCGATAAGAAGAGAAAAGAACCATTGATGATTTATTACTGAGTACGTCAAACACTTCAAGTATCGACAGGGTTGTAGGCCGCAGTCGTGTACAATGATTAGATTAGATTAGATTAGATTCTGCAATATCCTGTCAATGTGATCCCCGTGACTTTTAACTCGTCAAATCCAGCGAATGTCGCTGCAAACGTTTCCTGACTTGCTTTCTTCTGAAGTATGAACCAGCCTTTACACTTCTATCTGCTTTCAACTTGAAGGTTTACCTGAGGTGGGGTAAGGTTCTTGGATCCAAAGATGGGCCCCATGTTTCTTTTCCTTTTTTATTGTCTGACGTTTAGCTTGCCTTTCTATTATTTTTGTCACTTTTTTACTGCTTCACTACGCCCATCTCTACTTTTGCCGTTCATTTTTTTCCTTTATGCTTTTTATATTCTCAGTGATGCATGGGTCTTGGTTTGATCACGTCCTTGAATACTGGAAGCAGAGGGGAAAGAAGAATTTTCTGTTTCTAAAATACGAAGATCTCCATAAGGTTTGTGTGAGAAAAAAAATTGGTTGCCTGATTTAATGGGTAGATTAGAGAGGGTAAGGCTGTAGGCTATAGGATCATTACTCATATGACATGTAATAATGTTCTACATCACATTGGAGTGCTGTGCTGGGAGCGAAGAACATGCAATTTAAAATTACAGCTAATAATGTGTAACCGTCAGCATTGCTACATTGATCGTGCTGTGTAACAGCTACTGTGGAATGATTGGCATTAATTTTGTTTGCGTTTTACCAACGTGAAATTTCGTTCAAGATAGTGGAAGGCACATCCGAGAATTTAACGTGAAAAATACACCAAAATCAAGTCAAGGGGTTGGCAATATTGTTCGCGTGTGCATTGTCCAATTTTGGTTCGTATTGATCAAATCAAAGTATGGCAAACGCAGAGTATTTAAATTGAAAACTGTTTTACTAAATTCCCATTTTTTCTGGACATGTTTGTAAACAAAACATTTAATTTTTTCTACCTTTTCCCCTTTTATCGTTTCGGATCGTACCGTGCGCATACAAAACAGAAATCAATTATGGTTATGGCCGTGGTATGTTAGATACACTGAACAATATAGGTTATATATTAGTTTGACGGTCAATTTGTATTTTTGCTGGCGTTTCGTAATATTTCAACCAAAATTAAATCAAAATATTTGCCGATAATGGACCTCACCTGCAGCTTGGGCCATCATTAGCGGCCAAGCCCCTCACCGTTTGTAAATTTATACAGGCTCCCCACACTTTTATTCCCTTATCAAAAAGGTTTCGTGTATTGTGACTTTTGGGGGACTTGGAGATAGATTTGCTATCCAAAACCATTGATTTGTTGACAAAAACCCTGGACTAATCTGAAACACGCAAGGTCAAACTTTCGGATTGTAAGGGGTCGGTGACGTCACCGGGAGATACGTTTACACCAAGTATGCATGCAACTATGTCTGTCTGGTAGTGCCTCTTGACACAAAGTGTGTTAAAGTGCTATAGAGCTTGAAAGTTGGTCCCTAATGGCGCACTTCTGGAACCCTTGAATAGGAAAAATAACGTGTAAAGATTTCAGAATTTGTAGTAATTTTTCGTGCAGTTTCTTATTTTAAAAATCCAACTCTGGTAAAAGGGCTTAAAAATATTTGCTAGTATATCAATTTATTGTGCTGGCAAAGGTATAGGTAACGTGCGGGTACCAGCGTTGGAGTCAAGTCCTCGAATCCGGGTACATTATACTCTGAGTACTTCAGGGGCCGAGTACAAATACACTGGTAACGAGTCCGCGTCCCAAAGCACTGAGTCAGAGTATATTCAAGGCCAAAACTTGGTACTGGACAGTGTCTGTGAAAAACAGAATGTAAATAAACAAATGGAATACTAACATGAACACACACATCTATATTACTTTAACACAACATACAACATTCACCTTTACCGAGTAGTTAAAACATTCAAGATTTATTTGTGCAAAAATGTTTACATTATGACATATAAATGAATTCTCCACCAGTTTGTGTTCAGCTAGAGAGTCTAACCGAACACATATGGATAAGTGGGTAGATATCAGGACTAAGACAACCATTTGTTGCCAAGACTGAGACATTTAGGTTGGAAAATGATAAAAATCATGGAACCTTGTGGCTAAAGATTGAAACAGAAGAAAATGACGCGTGAAAAAGTATAAGAAAAAATGGCATACTGGAAATGCCGACATATTCAGTTGTGAAAAAGCTCGTAAAAAAGTGCAACAAAACCTTTGTCAGTCCATGTGCGCGCACCATGCCATCGGGTAACGAAGTTACTCTCATGGCGTAAGACCTAGGCTCATATCGGCGCTACGATTCCCTGTAATATAAAAATTTTAGGTCTAGACCGTGGTTCCTGTCCCGCACATAGTCTCCAGACGTCTTACAGAAGTCCTTGGAACGTAGGGACCTGTAGCAGGTAACGAAACCGCTCAATGCACAAATTAAGTAGGAGCTAATACAATACAACCCACAACCTCCTACTATCAATGCAGATGTCTTAACCACTCGGCCACAGAGCTGGTCGTGGTGGTCTGGCCTGTCCAAGTCAGATGTAGCAGCGGGTACCGCCAAATCATTTAAGAACACATCTGCACTGGTGGCAGCAGGTCATGGGTTCGAGTCCCACTCCAGTTAGCTTGTGATTTTTTTCACAAACTATGGGACAAGAAGGAACGTCGGCGTGTGTCGGTTTAAGGGCAAAACCCGTGAATAAATTAACACCATGCCGTCAAAAAATACTTTTCGCGTTGCGTTACGTGGCCATAATAGTGCAACACAACCTACCCATGCACTGCAAAGAAAGAAGGGGTTAGTGTAGCGGTGTTAAGACCATTGTTTAATTAGCATTGGATCGGCAGTGTGTAGGTCTAAGTTCAAGCCTGTCTGTGTAGGCGTCATAGTGCCTACACGCCCGTCCAATTTCTTATGGAGAATCATTCTAATAACATTTTCTACTCCACCATTGCATTACTTGGTCATGCACTTGAAATCACCCGGCCCTTGCTTCTGGTAGAAATTAGAAGTGCCTAATTTGTTTTAAATTGACCTATCGCCACAACCCCATGGACTTTGGTACATCGAGCTTTGCTTGTCTCAGATTTTGCGCAATTATTACGTATACTGTGTAATTGGACAGTGGATCGCTCAATCTGTTCATAAGCCCCGCCAACCTTAGTAAGGGCATTGATCAAAATACGAGCACTGGCTAATATTGAATGATGCCCTTTTGTCAGGTGGCCGCAGAACCTTAGCAACGGTTGCTAATAGTTGTCGACACTGGCTCAGTCAAACTAACGAGACAAATTAACACGTTGACTTTGAAGGGTGAAACATTTGAGGGAGAGCACGAGAATACAGCATTTTCTTCGTACGCCTTAGCTAATAAGCACTATACATGTATACTGTTATATACACTCCGTATCGCTCGGTAATGTTTAGGGCCTCTTGCATATTATTAATGCATAACGATGGTGTCTGAAATCGGCGGAAGGGTTTTCTTCGAGGCTAGTGTTTTTTGATGTTCAATTTACCATAAAAAAAGAGAGCTGAGCCAACTTGTCATTTCAAAATTATAGCTTTGTTAAGTGTCGTTAAAAGGTTCATTAGCGGAAAGCAAGATTCGTTTTTGTATTTCTTGGAAAACGCTTCTTAGACACCATTTTTTGCTTGAAAATTAGAAGAAAAGCGTTGTCTGTTTATTTTGATTAAGCATGATCGAACAAAACTGGACGGTACATTACGCTGACCAAAACTCGTGAGTTCTGAGAAACGTCAACTTTTCCTGTTTTCAGGACCTCAAGGGGTGTATTTGTAAACTCGCTGAGCTCGTCGAGAAGGATCTAGCTGATGATGTCATTAACGGTATCATAGAGTGCGTGACCTTTGATGGCATGAAGAAGTCATATCAACAGGTTGTTAATAAGTATGGGGAGAAAGGGAAAGAGATGATCACCCTGTTTGATATACCACACCTCAGGAAAGGTAAGAATATGGACCCCAGTATAAGAAATGTCATAGCAAAAATTCCTTTTGGTATTCAGTTAAACCTTTTCTGAAATTAATCCGCCAAACTTCTTACGTCTGTATTAAGAGCAAGGTTTGACCAAGTGAAGGACATTAATCACCTCAAAAGACTATTGAGATCGAAATGCTTAGATATTAATAGAATATTATTTTGTAATCTGTCTTACAAAACGTGTACCTAAGTGAAGACAAATAACACTCTTTGAAAATCTGAAAATAATTAACACTTGAAAAGAGTGGCAGTGGATACAACTTGGTGCAGCCTTGTTTGTTTCCCCCTTTTTATCATCATTCAGGACGAGTTGGTGACTGGAAAAACTTCTTTACAGTGACACAGAACGCCATCTTCGACAAGATCTACGCCCAGAGAATGGAAGGAACCGGCTTGGAATTTGACTTTGAGATTTAAGATCTTGCTGTTGAAGGGCCTGCGATTTAACAGTGCCACAACGCCATGCTGATTTTTTCTAGGCCTGCAAAACGCCAAATAAGAAATTCCTTTAAGGTTAACAGACATTGAAAACATTTTGTTCTCGTAAAATATTTCAAAAAGCACTAAATACCTCACCTCATTAAGGGAGATTTTGCGTCTCCCTGCCCACAAAAATCCCCTTTTGGCCGTTTGCACTCCAAGGCAGATTGGATGAAGTCATCGGTTTGGAGGTTATGTTCCTAAGATTTGTTTCATAAATCGGCTTTATGGTCGATCAAGATTTCGCACAACATTTGGGTGCTGAACAGTGGTTTTATTTTGTTTCTAATGTTTTCCGTACGTATTGTTTGTTTATATGTGTTTCCTTTACATTTAAGAAGGAAAGAATTTGAGTGCCTATCACTGACATTGCTGATTTAATGGGGGCTTCAGACTATCCCGTAAACTTTTATATAGATCACAGAGCTTTTTCATATTAAGCACAACCCAAAACGTAGAAATGGAATTGTACAACACACAGATATATTTTAAGAAATTTGTTTTATTTACATAAACTTTGGAAACAACATAAATTTATTGGTCACTACATTTGATATTGTAGATGGATTAACAATTTCACATGTGCCATCACACCAGGGAAGTTGTAAAGAAATATATTGAAAAAGAACATTCAGAAGAGTATAAAAACTGCAAATAAACACCACTTTGGTCACCTAGCAGCAAGAAGCCTTGCAACGTGTGGATTTTCAGCACTGACTTAAGAAACAATAACATGTTAATGTATGATACGACGCACATGTTTGTACTTAAATTATAAATTACTTTTACGCTAAAATTGACCTAGTTTTCACACGGATGAATTAATTTTCATCCCAATATTGGAATGTACGTGCAAATACCGACTCATGTCAAATAAAAACCTATAAATGTGAAGACACTGCACACTAATAAGGTGTTTTATATGTCAGTATTTACTTTATTATGATGAATATGCAACATTCATTCCAAAAAGGTCAAATGGACCTATATCAAGGAGGTCCTTCATAAATAAAAATGATACCACAGTTTGGCCAAATGAAGGGTCATGGGGGATTCCACTGACTAGAGATTTCACCACGCATGTCAGGTTATAATGATTAGCATAAGCCTAAATGCCTAAAGACAAGTAGATTTGCATTGGTCCCATGATAATAATACACAGTCAGACTGTGGTCCATACAACCTACCGGTAAGTTCCAGAATTAAAGTCACATGCACATGTGACGTAACGTGAGGCTGACTGTGAGACTGACTGCCCAACAAAGGAAATCTTGCGCACAAAAAGTGCAACATCCAAAACATACGTTTCGTCGCTACAAGTCATCCCTTATAATATATGAACGATCACTTCACACTTCTTCGATCTGTAGTAGAGGTTTTGGTAATTGATTTCAAGCTGAGTCAGGGCAGAGGTAAAATACATCTAAACATTTTATATCAGACACAACCTCATCTTTAACGTTTCAAATTTATGCTAGTACCTCACATAATGTGGACAAACTTCACATCAGTCGATTCAGAAACTCGTTGCTGTATCTCCTCACCACACCATCTTAACTGCCAGCGAAATACTTTTTAGACACGTAGTTCATAAAAATTGTTTGTTGAACTCTCGCTTCTTCACCCGCACGTCTCGCGTTGACACTTCCAGAAAGTCACACTCACTGCAACATACGTAAGTTGTTGTTTAGGCAAGCCTCATACAAAAAGCTGAGTAACTGTGGTAGCTGTAGCTACAAGTGAGTAAGCCATTGAAAGAGAAGAAGCATTGACCTGGTGACTTAAAGGACAAGTCCTTAAATCTACTTGCAAAATATGTTGAAATGCTGATGGAGCAGGTTGCGCATGCGGTTAAATCCTCCAATTTCACCACTGCATGTATTGTCAAGAAGGAGATCGTTTCGTAGTTCCTCAACAGGTTAGATGAATGTCATGTTTGACTCTTTGGACCCATCTGTGCTGAAATGGACAAAATAAACAGCACTGTGCAATCCAGTGTAAACCTAAAAGGATTGGCAGAGATACGCATTTGTATTGGCAAAATCTATGGGGAAATAATAATAATGTTCGCAAGATATCATTGAGATCTGGAAAGAATTAGAGTGAGAAATCCTGCCTATGGGTAAGCAAGAAGTTCAAAACCAGATACAAATAGGTCATCTCATTAGCTTACCTAGTGGCGAACCTCATTCATCTACCCTAAGAGGCAAGTCTCTTACTGATGATGAGAATGATGTTGGACTGGAATTTACCAGCCACCCATAATGCTAATGGTCACCAAATTCCAATCACGCCTGTTGCGTGCTTTGAGGTGTACAAAATGGAGGTGACCCAAGCAGCCGGCTCTCGCAGTGGTGGCTGTCACGTGAGTGCATCAAGGAAGACAACCGGATGGCTGTAAAGAAGCTTTTGTCTGCTGCGGCTGCATCTTCAGCTGTTGAATAAGTGTTCAGCTCGTATGGTTTATTCCCCTAGGTTCACTCTTAACTATAACAAACTGAGTTAGACCTCCAAAGGGTACAAAATTGTTTTTCCCATTGAAAGCATTGAACATTTAATAACATGTCCCACGCCACAAACGAATCTATACTTTATATAAGAGTACATGCCTGTTTATGAGTAGTGTCACTAGTTTGACAGCGTCACTAATCAGAAAGTTGCCAATGTTTCAATCTAATAGCAGACACCATACATAATAAATACGCATTACAGTTGCTTGACGTAATCGTTAGAGATTCGTTGAACATGAATGAAAAACAAAAGCTATATGCTTCATAATACATAACAGTTATGGTGAATACAGTTCTCGCAAACATGTTTCATTTATAAAAGCAATTGTTTTACTTATTATGCAAAGCCTTAGTGTTTAAAATGTGCGCCATATAGGCTTGATAACTCCTTTCCTTCCTAGCTACACTTCTTTTCTGAACGACCACTTGAAAAATATTTTCACATGAATTGAATTTATTCGGTGATCTGACCGAAATGGCTCTCCATGACATTGAGATTTGAAACACAATAATGTTGTCGTCAATGCTGTTTCATAAGAAATGTCTTCCCACAAGATAACATCCTTAGACCCTCCTGTTCCAAAGAGGCAAGTTTTGCAGACAAGATAGGTAACTTAATTGTTACTACTACAGAGTGGTCACAGTTATGAAATAGACATAAATGACAAGCCGTTGACGGCAACACTCCGAGTTGAATGAAAGCTTTAAATAGCAGAATAAAACCCAACTCTAGCAACTTTATCGAGACTAACATACAAATACCTCCTGAATAATCCAGAGTGACCCAGAATTATTCAGATTTTAAGATCTGAGTGTATTCAAACATATACCATTTACTATAATGCAAGACAATATAATCAGACATTAAGAACTTGTTATTTTCGTTCTTTCTTTCTTTCTTTCTTTCTTTATTTATTTATTCTGGCAAAAAGACAATTTATAATAATAGTCACAGTACAAAAACACAAAAAGAATAGTAAAAGACAGAAGCCAAGGATAGCCCAAGAAAGCTGTAATACACAGCTTATTACCATTGTGGTCCTCACAAAAAAGTTAAACATTTATACAACACTAAAAATACTAAAAATACACTGGTGGCTAACATAGATTTTTTTTGAAAATGTGTAAGATTTTGAAAAATAATCCACAAATTTAAAATTGTATGATACATTTTGGCTGCTTTTTTGAAAAATTTGGAGAGTATTACAACTTTTTACTTCATTGGAAAGCGAATTCCAAAAGTGTACTCCAGTATAGAAGAAAGTGTTGCATTCAGGCCCCCTTATACAGGGAACAACAACATTGGTTGTACTACTCCTCGTAGAATAACTGCGTATTTGAAACTCTTTTGAAATTCTCACAAAGATAATCTGGTGCCATATTATGAAAATTAATCTGATTCAATTTCAACTGTATTACACGATCATTTACATTTAAAAAAAACCCAACCTATTCAATTCTACTTGTCCAATATGAGATCTAGGACCTAGGCTTAGAATAAAACGTACGATCTTATTGTGAGTTATTTGCAACCTTTTTTTTTAGTTTAGTAGACGGGGCAGAAAACCAGGATGAGCAACAATAATCAAAATAACATGCTATGAGTCTGAGCAGAACATAATAATTTACGAGATCGCTCATTTAAACAATTTGATCATCTATATAAAAACTTAATCTTGCACCATTCTTTTTGATGACAGAATTGGCAACATTCCCACAATTTAAACCTTGATCCAGTGTAATACCCAAGTGATTTACATAATTTGAGAAGCTAATAATTTTCCCATCACAAATCACTCCGAAATTGTCAACTCTGCTGAGTTTCTGTTAAGATCCAAATAGAATAGTCTCTTCACTGTATTTGAACTTTCCTGCAGTCACACAAAAATTCTTTCTTTTTTTTTACCTTTATGAGGTCTAAGAAAATCTTACAAGCCATTATTGGCATGGTTGGATTTCAGCCTGTTCAGCACTCGGAGTTTAAACTTTAAATTTAAGATCTTAAAGCTCAAAGTCAAACTCCAAGCCGGTGCCCTTCATTCTCTGTGCGTAAATCTCGTCGAAGATGGCATTCTGTGCCACTGTAAAATAGTTTTTCCAGTCCCCAACTCGCCCTAAATGATGATAAAACGAAGAAGAAAAATCAAGCCTGCGTTTGTTAATTTCAATACATGTATTTAACTTTATACAATATTTCGAACCCTCAATGCAGCCTGGCGTTTCGTCTTTAAAATGATTTGTGAAACATGCAAAGAAAAGAGAGTCCATCACTTTTATGAATCTTTGTCTTAATGGAGACATATGAAGGATGAGGAGAAACGTAAAAATGGCGAATTCGTTTCTGAAAAGCTCAGATTGAATGCAAAAAGGGTATTTTTACAGACAATATTACTCTAAGTTGCAAGTTCCAAAATTTCTTCCCAGAGTCCGGATTGTTACCTTTCCTCAGGTATGCCGTTCCCTGGTAACGGGTCATCCGTTTGCCTTCCTCACCATATTCATCCTCAATCCGTCGATAGGTCGTCTGCATTCCATCAAACGTCACGTGCTCCAGGATACCATCGATGACGTCATCAGACAGATCCTTCCCAACAAACTGAGCGAGTTTGCAAATGGACCCTCTGAGATCCTGAAAAAATTAAAGCTGGAGTTTGCTTCACGTGTATGCTTATTTGCCATCTTAACGTTTTTAGTGTTTAATCAAACCAAAAACATCACGTTGAGCCCAGTTTTATTGTTTGTGTACTTTTAAAAAAAAGAAATCACCCAACAAACACATACATACAACAACGGATACATTTCCTCTAGAGCTCAGCTTTATGCACTTGTTTGTTCATCTTGTTATAAAGGGCCAATATGGTTGCATATTTCAGTAGCAGGACCCTCACTGAATTGATAATTTTACATTGGTAGGTATGAAACAAAACGGAAAATTAAAAACGTTTACCTTTTTTCTAAAAAAGATGGACAAATTTTTGTTACTGCTTGGAAACATGTCCAGAAGAATAGTGACAGAACAACGGATTTCCACTTTGAACGCTTTGCTTTTGATGGCTCTAGCCGAAACCATATTTGACATATAAGACCAGTTAGTTAAACAGTGAACAGTAAGTTAAAACCTTGCGCAGAGCTCCGTCAGCTATGGACGGTCAGTTTGGTAATTTCTTAATTAAAAAAAATTACGGCCAAATGCAAAGACCTTATATTACATCCTACGTCTGCCCATGCTGAAACCTAGTTTAGTCGCCTTTGAGGTAGGGACCTCCCCTTGGCTGGTGTAAGTTTCACCAGAGCCAGCCTCTTGCCAAGTCCCATGGGGATGCGTACTAATCTCTCTGCCACGCGGCCTTATGGGATTATTTACACAAAGGCTGCCTTGGCCAGCCAGGGTCTGTTCTTTATCAATCATTGTCGGTCTCTCTGATGTGTCTCTGAGCTGTCTAGACAGCTGTCTGGGCAGTTTCATGTTGGGGGGGGGGTGTCACACTTTAGGTTGACTTGGCGCCCCCCCCACTGGATAAAAGGTACTGTGACCGTAGTCTGACCCTTTTTCTCGTTTCTTTTTATTTGTAGGCATTGGGAGACACCTAGGCACACCCTCAAACCAATTTAAATGCCATTACAAGGGTCTTAGAGGCTGGGGTGTATGATTACAAATGCACGTCTATCATAGACGGAGGGGGCCTATGACCAGTTAAATACGCGGTCGGTGCATTTAATGGCAGAATTACATTTATGTTCGTTGTCAAAGGCGAAAATCTCGATAACTGCATTTCGTGTTTTCAGTCAAATCTACAACCCCTTGCAAACGTTCATGTACAAAAGGATTTGATTGGGAAGGCCGCAAAAAAGTCAACTGATTTTTGTTTTCACAGAGAGACACACACAATTTTGCAGTTTCGAAGATGACACTTCTCTTGTAACTGTCTCGAAAACCAGTTTCTCCTCAAAATCTTCATGAATGTGGCTGTAAGTGAAAACAACTTACAACTCTCTCACAAACTGACCTTATGGATATCTTCGTACTTCAGAAAGAGAACATTCTTATTGCCCCGTTGTGTCCAGTAGCCAAGCACGTGATCAAACCAAGATCCGAACATCACTGAGAAGAATAATAGAAGGAATAGCGGCACTAGTGAAATATGGAATTGGTTGTGATGAACAAAAAAGAAAAAAAGAGGTTTAAAGGAAAAATTAGATTTGGACTTTAATTTGGTGGATGGGCTGTTTAAAATGATTAATTTACTATCATAACTCACTTCTCCCATTGCAAAATGCCCAAAACACATTGTCAAATCTCCAAAATGATACGATCTTGGACCAAGAAACGAGCACATCCTTTGGGTTTCGGGCCACATACACCACCTTAAAAAGACAAAAAGAAGTCACGTCAACCGTGTAAGTTCCATTGTGTCAATTTTGCCTGAACTGAGCTGGCGTCAGTTCACTTAGTCTGTGATTACAGTAAGTTAGCGCAGTTGCCACATGTGTCAAGGCATGCTGGCAAATACACAAAACCCTAAATTGTTTCTTGCATGCAAGGCATGGTCTGTACCCTTAGCTCAGTAAAATATGAGGCGCTCGATCAGTGTTAATCAGGAATGTTGTTCGTATTTGTGAATCATTTCGAACATTTGTGCCGAAATATAGCGGAACTGTAAATAAGGCTGAGAGTGGTATTGCAGCTAAAACACAGGTTACCTTTATAACCATTTCTAAAGATGATCGCATTTAATGGGGACAAATAACACTAAATCTTTAAATCATGTGGGCAATGAACACAAGGATTATTAGGATACGGCGTGTGTAGAGTGTTTTACGAAGCAAAACCAGTACCCCCGGGACACGGAATGAATCATCCGCATCAACGGTTTGGGGCAAATGGGGGGGGAGACAAGACTAGAGGACATGAGGGCAACTAAAATCACCCCATTGCCCCCACGGGACCCACCACGCATACGCAGGCGGATGTCTTACTGTTTGATAATACACTGTGATTGTGGTGCGGGGTTTCCCCTCCCAAAAAGTACATTACCTTGGCATTCTTCGTCAAGACTTGAGGGGGTCGGAACCTCTCCATGCAGTGGCTTATAATGCACCTTGGTGATTTCATGGCTGCGCAAACCATGTGTCCAGGTGTGGTACTCTGCATTCTAATTGGGTCTTCTGCAAGCGTGGTCTCCAGCACGTTGGCCATGAAAGAGCGGTCAAAATCTCCCTTTCCATCGTTCAGAATGTAATGTACTATTTCGCTAACCCAATGGGTACCTTTTCAAATAGTTGAAAATGAAGAAAACAAATTTCAAAGCTGGGTGTGGGTGATAGACGATTGTTATTTTCATTTTTTAACTTCATTTATTTCTTTTCTTTTTCACTGCAGAACGCTTGAAGGAACTCCCACATCACAAATAAGATATTTAAAGATCATGGTCTAAAGTATTGTACCAGGCTCTGTCGGAGTGGGATAAAAGGAAAATTGATTTATGACTAATGAAAGTGGAAAACGATTGCGCACAACCCTAAAGGAAGTTCAACTTGGTAACCTTTCCCCATTATTAGAAATGTTATTTTTGATATGAAGCTTTATATCGGCTACAGATGATTTATCCCTATCCGGGTAGCTACACAAAGTGATAAGAGCATACAAGGGAACTCCCACTGTGAACCAAGCAATTCCTTTAGAATGAGGTCAAGATTTTTATAATATGCATAAATTTACCTGTTCTCACAGAAGGAACAAAGAACCAAGGGTCAATTAATTTTGGTTTGAATTCTTTAGAGATGATCCAAACGTTAGCCAGTATAAACCAGCAGCTGCAATTGGATAGGGGCAATTCTAGAAATTCGGACGTACAATTCGTTACGTTGTTAATCGTTAGTGTTCTTGGAGCCAACCTGTGCATTTTGTAAAAACTCGTACCGACGTTCAATGTATATGTATACTGTACGGGCATGTACACAGCTTACCATTGAACGTAGTCGGAGCTTGAAGTATTACCGAAAAAAATGGTATCCAGTTGTGTTTGGGGTTGTTTGAGACAAAGTGCAGATTCCAAAGAGAAAGAGATCTGGTTTGTCAGATGGGGTTGTTTGAGACAAAGTGCAGATTCCAAAGAGAAAGGGATCTGGTTCTTCAGATTTCTGCAAGTGCTGAGAGCAGCAAATTGAATGGGTACAGTACCGGTAGATGTACACTGAGCCACGGAGGTAGAGTGAACATCATTCCATTCTTCGAATTTGCAATGAATGAGCGCATTCTTCACGTTTGTGCTGGAAATCGGCCACATCTACGCGTGCTATGCATGCAGCACACGCACTGTGGTATTTCCTCTCCACGGTAATACATCACAGAAATCAATATTTGTTGGATGCTAAACAGTTGCGACGACAAGTCCATTTTACCGGACTCGTCTTGCAGGAAAATGAGTCCAAAAACTGTGTTTAATTAACAGAAAAATGTGTATTGCAAGGGAGATATTGATACACTGTAAGAACTCGGGTGTTAAAATCAACACTTTTGGGTGTTATCAGATGCCACACCATAGGGTGTTACTTTAACACTGATGATGTTACTTTGCACACCTTTAATTGTTACAGTGCACTAGAAGGTGTTACAAGTAACAGCAAATAACACCAAAATTTTAACACAGTGAAAAGTGTCGGTGTAGTCTTCTGATAACACCGCTGGTGTTAAATTATACACCCGAGTGTTTACAGTGTATGTACCACTTTCATTAGACTTAGCTCTTCTGAATAGAATTCAATATGGGAAAAATCAGCATTGTTGGAATTGGTCTTTAAGCAGGCTCACTTGCCCAATTTAGACCAAGGATTTTTGACATATTCCCAACTAGACCATCGCAGAGTCTTTGTTCTTGGGCCTTATGCATGATTAGAACTAGGAGAGTGCAGTATTTGTCAAGAGTTTGTCTTTTTTCATTGGATTGGTCTCAAATTATCTCATGGCCTCATATACTTTTGTTTTACAGTGAGAAATATTGTATACTTTTAGTTAAATAATACATTTATATAGAGAGAGTCCTTTAAGGTTCACATAAAGTTCAAATACAATGTCATTTCTGACAAGCCATGTGCATTTGTCAAATTTCAAATTGTTAAAAGAAACTACGACTATTACCTTTAAATACGTTACTACTTTAAACTTTAGAAGATACTCAGCATTTATGAAACATTGTAAATTCAAATGAACTGCGTCATGTAGACTTGACTGAATCTAGAACCCATCGACAATTAGTAGTTTGTCTCACACTTTCTATCCTCAAGAGCGTTAAAAAACAAGCGTTTATCTCAAAGCACTGCCTACAGAGAAATTGAAATTGGTAAAATGAGTTTGAGTGCGTCCCATCATTCTTTACCTGATCTTGGATAGGTGAAGATAAACACATCATCATCACGTACTTCAAAACTTTTCAAAGCCTCCAGATTGGATTGCGGCACGAAAAATCCAAATGTAACCCCATTCCAGACGTGACAGCCCGTCCGTTTCTCGATATTCTCCCATTCCTCCAGCAGTTGTTGGTGTGACTTCCCGTCGAACAACGTCGACGAAATCGCCTCGATTTGCTCGGTAAGGCTCATCTTGGCAGCCAGTCGTCAAACTCTACAACCACATTATGTCTGATCTTCACCACACTATAAACTTAACCATGCCTTCTTATCCAAACCCTTTGCACCCAAGATAACGGTTCCTTTTTTGTTGTGTTTGTGCGAAACTGTGGAGGTAATGTGTTGGCAAAGTGTAAAGAAGGACAGAGTCCAAACAATGTGAACTTTGAACTTACACAGCCAATTTTGCGGAACATGCTTTGGCAACAGAGCGCATTGACATATTGTGACACATTGACACTCATTTATTTTCATCTGAAAGAGAAAAGGAAGATGAACGAACTATAAAGATTCGTTCCAAATTCTCCAAATTTTATGCTATGTTCTGAAACCAAGTGTGGCAAATAAACGTGCTGCAGAGGTTTTTTTAATGCAAAGCATAAACAGAGACCAAAGTATTGTAAGCTTTCAACTTAAAGAACCATAGCCAAGTGTAACGGTCGGCACTCGCAAGGGTCAACTTTGGTCGTGTCATTTCAAGCCTCAATTTTCGTTGTACCACCGTTTGGGAGGTTTGCAAGTGGGCGTGTGTAGTCGACTGAGGTCTAGCCAGTCCAATAAATCAAGCACAACAATACCCAGATGAAAGAAGCACAAACACAAGGGTCTCGACTGAAGCATTAAGGCCATTGTTTTCGTTCTTGGTAATCGCAGAAAGTCAAAAAAATGTACATCTGACACGTCTCTAAGCTAGGTTTGCGAATTCCCATGGCTCCAGAACTCCTCAAATGTTCCCAAAAGCTCCGTGAAAACTGTATATAGTAACAAAGAACAAAGTTACATGAAGCATTAAGTACATGTAGACTAACAGTAACACTGACAGCAACTTATGATCACAGAGTCATGTATCTCCGTCTGAGCATGCAATTTACGAAAGGTTTTCCCAAGGTTTTCCAGACCCTGATGACAATAAGAATAGTTAGGTGCATTACATCCTTACGTGCGCTAGACTTGTAGTTGACAAAATTGATAATTTCTGGCTATTTGGTCGAATTTTATGTCGCCAATGAGAAAAACACATTATGATGGTGACCTCCACGAAAAACGTAGACCATGCCTCTGTTGGAAGGTGTTTGTTTCCTCAAGTATGTATTACAAAGGGGGCGCTATAACAACTGAATGGCAAGTTCCATTAACGTGCCTCCCCAAATTAGCAGAGCTAATTTCAGGTCATCAGAATGAACCATTTTTATACATTGTGATAACCTTATTAACCAGTAACTTTGTTTCTACGCTTCACCTCAAAAGACGTTTAATGCTATAAGAACCACACTGCAGAGCAACTGATCTAACCGTAACAATATAACAAAGACAAACTCACCAGATGGTGTCCTGTCTATTTGAGATGAATCAGGACACGATCAGAGGTAAAGCAGTTTCCTCACACTAAAGACTCCTCGACTCCCTTGGTCTCCTCGTTCGCTAATATAGGAACGAGCAGTTCCAACGTCTGGACTGGCTGCACTATGTGCTTCGTGGCGGGGACCCTCTTGCCAGCAGCATCTGGATGAGGGTCTCAGACAGCAGGCTCAACTCTACGCACCAGCTTGTCTTTACCCGTAAAGGTTTCTTCGATACAACTGAGGCGCCACTGATTCCGTGGCAAATTGTCGTCTCTAATATGTGACAATGCCACTGATGTGCAAGTCAAAGGATGGACGGACCCACTTCTGTCGTAATTGTAGGTTCTGGAGAAATTCCCTTTTCCAACGTGTCCAGAACTCATTTGCCAAGTGCTGGACTCTCCGTCACTGCTTTTGTAAGTACAGGTCGGCCTGTTGAAAGGCATATGGAGGAGGCAGAATCACTTGGGATTTGCGGTTGACAGGTGGTTAGGTGTCAGTGGTTCCAAGACATAAGGTCGTTAAAGGTTTGTGCCGTGAGGGGTCTACTGTTTACTATGGCCGCCGCCTTGCACATCAGCGTTCTGAGTGACTTTTCGTTGAGCTGGGAGCCTGCTTGGTCCATCAGGGATGCGAGTACTCTGCTTACTGACGCTCCCAGACTTCGCCCGCGTGGCTAGCTGATGGGACATTCATCTTGAATTCAAACAGATCACAACCTTCTTTCAACTGAAACAGTTTCATGAGGTCGAGGTTCAACTCTGCTATGGCCTCCTCAAGTTTGTTTCGAGCTCCGACCAAGTTTGCACCTTAGTCAGACCTTAGTAGGCGGATGGGGCCACTGATAGATAGGAAACGCTGTAAGGCACAGATGAAGGAGTCAGTACTGAGTGAGGACGAGGTTTCGATGGGAATCGCATGACTGGCCAAGCAGGCGAAAAGCACGCCATATCTATTCACTTCACTTCGTCCTCTCTGATGTCTGCGGGATTGTCGTCGGAGGCGACATATATCCACTGTGATGGCTCGGTAAGTTCTGATCTGTTGCACCTAGTTGCCTACAAAAACATGAAACCTGCGAGCGTCGTTGGCGATGTAACTGAGAACAACCTTGCTGTCCGTCCAGATACCTCTGTCGGAGTTTCGAATATAGGTTCCCTTTTCATTATGCAACTGACCTTCGTGGACTCTACCGCAACATTGAGTTCCAGACGAGGAGTGGTGATTTGCTTCAGGGGGCAGACTCGAGCTTTACCTATTATCAGAGAACAGTGTACTCTGCCTTGAACATCGATGAGGTGCAAATATGAGCATTGTCCATAGCCGGACAGTCCTGGCATCCGAAAAATGATGGATTTCAGTTGACTTCTGCGCTCCAGCAGATACAGCTCGGGTCTCCATTGTTCCCGTCTCTCTCTTACAGAATCAGGGAGGGGGTCGTCCCATCCAGCATCCTCGTTACAGTGGCATTGCAGGGTCCGTTAATCATTGAGCACCAAGGGAGTCACGAAACCCAACAAGGCATAAACTGACCATATTGTTGACAACACTCAACGTCTAGTAAGTGTTCGATCCTTCATGACGATGGCGAACTAAAAACATCCGACTCGATGCACCACTCCTCACTTAGAGGTCTCTCAATTGGCAAAGTGTCATGACTCAAATCAAGATTTGTAATTCCCTTAGCTCGGTCTTTGACATTAATTGTGTACAACACGTGCTGCTCTTGAGTTTGAGACAAACTTGTGGAGGTACAAGCCTCCACGAGCGCAGAGTTCTTCGAGTTGGAAATCAGCTTGGTCAACAGTGGGTACAGATGGTAGCCCATCGGCAACATAGAAGTTGCTTCCCACAAAGTCTGCTGCTGCCGAACCAACCTCTGTTTCATAGTCATTCGCAATCTTCTTCAACCCAAAGTTCGCACAGCCTGGTGATGACACAGCCCCTAACAAAATTTACGTGCATACGGTATGAGGTGGTTTCCATCCTGTAGTCACCATTCTCCCACCAGAAAAATCTGAGAGAGTCACGGTGTTCTTTTGCTACTCTAAACTGAAAGAACATTTGCCTCCACATCGACAATAATGGCCACTTGCTGTCGCCGGAATCTGCAAAGAACTCCCACAAGGGTGTTTGTCAGGTCTGGACCTTGTAAGTGGTGGTTATTTAAGGAGTCACCGTAGAATTTTGCACTGCAGTAGAACACGGTGCATATTTTATCAGGTTTATTGGCATTATAAATGCCATGATGGAGTATGTACCAAACCCGGCCACCCTTGCTCGTTTCTGGCTCATCCTTGGGAACTTTCTCTGCATGCCCGTTCTTAATCAGGTTGTTCATGAATGTGCAGTAGTCTGACTGATACTTAGGATTCCTGATGAAGCGACTCTTTAGCTGCTTTAGGCGATGCTGTGCCAGTTCCTCGTTGTTTTTAAGCTCAGGTGGCTCTGGCTTCCTGAATGGCAGTGGCAGGATAAGGTGCCCATCTGGCTCCAGGTGAGCATCCTTTTCCATCTTCTTCAAGAACTCCATTTCATCATGTGACAAAGATTTGTCCTTGGTTATTTGTTCACTTAAGTCAAATTCCATCATTTTTGCCACTTCGCAGGGGCTTATGAGCTCCTTCACCTCAGTCCTAAAAGATAGCTGAACTTGGTCCTGTTGCCGTTTGTTTTTTTGCACTTGTTTGACAGTAGGGGAGATATCTCGCAAGTGCGGACTCTATGGCTCACAGCGACAACATCGTGGGTGTCATGTTGACCTTGAGTGGGATCAACCACTCCCACTATCCCCAAACTGAGATCAAATTTTTGGCCATAGGTCTGTTGTTAAGATTAAAAAGGCGGATGACAGTTTCTGTACTTTTTTAAAATAAAAAACTACATTATTAACAAATGAAGCTATTCTACTTGGTAAAGCCAATACGAGTTGGAAATGCCTCAATTTAAACATTTTAATTGCTCATATGTAGGCCTACGACCCGGCCTTGACACGGAGAAATATCTGTCTGTTGTTAACGGTGTTACCCAGCAGTTTCATATAAATTGAGAACACAACTCTTTACATTGCAGGTAGTAGTCTCGTCCTTCCTTACTTTAATCGTTGGAAAAATCATAATATTTGCTGTCGACTGATGTAAATTAAGTATTAATCACTGTTTTCTGTAGTTTTTCATTTTGGACGAAATGATTCGATGAAAGACTAAAAAATGTTATTCCCAGGAAAAAGTGAACTTGTAAACACTTCGTCCATGCTGTGATGGACGACTGATGGTGCTGTTGCTGTGATGTCATCCAGGAAAAACATAGTTAAGTGCATGGGTTTTATGTTCAAAGGAACGGAAAGCATTAATGGTGCATTTGGTCTGACTGTGGATTGGCTAAGCCAATCGGCTGTGGGCATAATGAAAACGTCATCGCTCCACTCATTAAATCGATAAGAGCGTTTTATCGTTCATTAGCCTTTAATGCATACAACACATGATCCTTTAAAAACCTGGATTTATTTTTCAAACCAGCGTCTTCCGAGGACAATGTGAGATGAGAACCATCGAATCAAAAATGACCCATACTGAATATCAGGGGCCTTTGAATGTAAAATAAGGAAAAGTGAAGATGTCAAATGGGATATTATGTTGGAAATCTTTTATGAGAAGATGGACCCAGCTACAGTCTATGGGAGATCACTGTGAATAAAATGGTAGGCCTATCTAATGGATTTGTAAATTAATTAAACAAAACCTCTAGCCTACGGGGCACATGTTCATTAACATGTTTATGCATTAGTTTTCCGGTTTTTTAATCTGTAAAACTAGTTGTAAAGTCTAAAGATGCATATCTTCAGCAGTATGTAACAACTTGTAAACTCTGGCTCTCCTCAAAACGAAAAATTATTGAAAGAAAAATCTTTCTAACTTCAAAAGAATGAAAATTTTCACTCCATTTTTGTGACTATCCAAACTAATTTTTCACTAGAAAATGTCTAATTCTGGATGCTAGATTCTCAAACTGAAAACTGAATTGCAGACCGTTCAAATGTGTATACAACTTTCAGGATATATTAGGCTGAAAGCTCAAAGTCAAACTCCAAACCGGTTCCCTCCGTTCTCTTGGTGTAGATCTTGTCGAACAGTGTGTTCTGTGCCACTGTAAAGACGTTTTTCCAGTCACCAACTTCTCCTAAATGATAACAAAAACAATTGGTAAAAAATCGAATCCTTGTGCTCCTTGTTCGTGAACCTTCCCGCTTCTGGGCTGAGAGCATGGGTAAAATTTTTACAAAATTTAATGTTGTCTCTACCAATATGCACCGTACAGCACAATACATTTCAATACGTTATTGAAACATTTCAATCTCAGCGCCTTTCTCGAATCTATGCGCATCATGAAAATCGTCCAAATGAAACGTTTAAATAGGAAAAGGTCAGTCGCCCACTCGAGCCTTGCTCTTAATGCAGCCGTATGAAGAATGCGGAGAGACTAAAATTGTTGGATTTACTTCCGAAAAGACTACACTGAATGTTAGCAACAAATTCCAACCAACAAAACCTTACGACATTTCTACATAGGGTCCGTATTTTACCTTTCCTCAGGTATGGCGTTCCCCGGAAGCGGGTCATCCGTTTCCCGTCTTCTCCATACCTATCCTCAAGCTGTTGGTAGGTTGTCTGCATCCTGTCAAAGGTCACGTGCTCCACAATACCATTGATGATGTCATCAGGTAGATCCTTCCCAACATGCTTAGCAAGCTTGCAAACTGACCCCCTTAGGTCCTGAAAAATTATACGTGTGAAACGTTTCTCAGACCTCTAAAGCTGTAGCTCATGCACGGCGTGCGTAAATACCGTTTCAAAACATGTTTAATGAAACAAAAAAGTTACGAGCTTTTCTTCATTGCATTTTAATAATTTAAAAAAATGAACCAGCTTGTCTTGAAAATGGGGATTTCTTGGACACAAAGATACATATTGGAAGCTGTATAAAAACAAATTTATTGATGATATACCCTTTGTAAGTGCAAAGTTTCACAAACTAACCTTATGGAGATCTTCGTATTTCAGAAGCAGAAAATTCTCTCTGCCCTGCTCAGTCCAGTAGCCAAGTACGTGATCAAACCAAGATCCGTACATCACTGGAAATGCGAAAAATATAAATGAACGATTACCGGCACTATTGAAGGATTTACCGAAGCAGGTACTGTCTGTGAAGCAGGAACTGTGATTATTTCCAATCCTCAGGCATGCATTCAAGTTTGAAGCAGATCAGAAGTGTAAAGTAAGTTCATACTTCATGTTAATGCAAAATGAAGCAAATTCTAGGTCACATAACATTTGCAGCGAAAGTCGCTGCAGTGGGAACATATACAACTTTTGCAAATTCACATCGCGAATAGTTCATTTGCATGATGTTACAAAATCCCTTTTGTGTTCGCTTCGTTCCACTATAAACCAATCTCAAAGCTTCATTGAAAGTTCTACATGCTCTAGCTTCTGCAAAGCAGTAAAATATACCAGCTTCATCCCCCAAAGGAAAAGCGCAATACGCACATTCTTGAAAGTGGCACCATATTTATACGGTGTGGGGGCTGTTAGAATAGGTGAATTTTACAAAACTTTACTTTTGTCATGGTAAAATGCCCAGAGCGCCTCGTCGAATGTCCACTTTGGCATCATCTTGAACGTGGAAACGACCACGTCCTTTGGGTTTCGAGCCACATACACAACCTGTAAAACGGGAGGTACATGTCAATCCTGCAAGTGTTCAAACGTTCAAATCGGTTTTTCATAAGCTTAGCTCAAGTCGGAGTTTAATCTGTCGGTCAATTTAGCAAGATCATGACAGTGTCATGGGATGTAGGCAAATAAATATTGTCTCACTTGTTCGAATCAATCATGTGACCCTGTACGGGGTCAAATTCTTAAAGGATTAACCCTTTCATTTGCAATGCAGTTTCTGAAGATATTCCTTTGCGTCGACGGTGGTGAAACAGTTTTCCAAAGTGGACGGGGCAGCTGTTTGTGAGACCATCGGGCATCAGACACTACATTTATAATAGTGTGGCGGGACAATTGAGACCCTTTTTGTGGCGGACCAGCAACTGGCCTGATCGGAGATAGAATTGACCTGGCCTAACCCCACAAATATATTTATTTAACCTTAAGCAAGAATGAGCGGCTATCCAAACGCAAGGGGGGATATAAGTTAACGAACGGTGGACTATGCCATAGGGGCTGTGCGTTTGGTGGAAGTTTACCACCGCTCTGTGATTAGGTAATTGATCCCAATGCCAATAAAGATTACAATAAATGTCAATAAGTGATACAGGGCTGAACTAAATCTCACGGTGACCAGTGATTTCTAAGGCAATTATATGATTGGTTAATTCAATGTCAGTGCTCAATTATCCTTTGTATACAACAGCAATAACTATATACAAAATTATCCTCACGGGGAGGTAGTCCTAACGTGGTCAACTGCACCACGAACGTGATTAATCAGCCTTATCCTTAACCTACACCAGAATGACCCTCACGGTGATCATGGTAAACCTCACAGCGATCAGGGTAACCCTCACAATAACCAGGTAACCCTCACAGTGATCAGGGTAGCCTTCAAGTCTAAATAAATAATCTACCGATGGCTTATGACTATAAGTCTTGACCACACAAGCAAATACAATCTTCGTAACTGTACAACACAACACAACGGTGTGGACTTGTACAACAATAATCTATACTGCCTTACGAAGCAACACAGTTCCCAAACTGCAACAA